ATAAGGAAATCTAAAGCTGTTCTTTAATTTGGGAAAAACATCACCCATGTTGGCCTTGAAGAGGTCATAGGATGAAGGCAATGAGTGCAGTGTATAGAAATAAATTTACTCATACAAAAAGAACCAAGCTTTAAAAAGAATTTTTCTTTGTAGCATTATTCTAGCTCAGATTCTAAATTTGTCAAGTCCAAAGAATCTACAGCAAATTCAATCATTTTATCCTGAAAGAATAAGCACTCGATTAAAAGCTGAACAGCTTAAACACTGAGATTTTTGCTACACTAATTTCAGGTCAGGGCCCATGTTTATCACTAGTAACTAAAACATGCCAAGAAGGAAGAATGAGATAAATGGGGGTGGGGGGTGGGGGATGAGGAAAGAGAGAGAGAGAGATTAATGCAAGATACTACAAGAGAAGATACCCTTTTCATGCATAAAACTGAAAGCAAATTTTCAAGGACTTTTTTTCTCACAAATCTTGAAAACTCTCTACTGTTGCATTTTCAGACACTGTAATAAGAACAATTAAAATACAACTAAATGTTTCCTTGGCAGAATGAGAGGAAGAAAGGATGATTTTTTAAAAAGAAGCTTAAACATCTAGCCACGGCATGTTTAAGAAAAACCTATTTCCTTTTTAAAAAATTATATCTCAATAGTTTACAGATCTTGCATTGACATTCTTGGTATCCTTACTCTTAGGAATCATTCTGACGGGACATTCAAGTTTTCCAAATGTTTTACCTGTCATTCTACCAAAGCAACAAGACTATGTTTAAAATGTAAAAATATGCACTTACTACTGTCTGCTTTGTTTATATTATATTATAGATCAGTTACAAAAGACCTTTCAGTAGTTCCATGCATAAAGAAATTTACCATACTCGTGGCTAGAAGGATAAATAAAATTCACTTTTTGAAGAAAACATTCTGTCTCTCTCTCTCTCTCTCTCTCTCTCTCTCTGTAAATAGTTAGAGCATATAAGTAGTGTGAGGGAGAGAGGAAATTATGTTCCACTGGGATTATCAAACAGAAAAGGTGTCTTAAAAAAAATTATATTGGCCTCTTGCTAGTCCATGAGCCAATGTAAAGTTGCAACATATCCTTCCATTTCTTGGGCTCAGTTACCACATGAATGGCCATTCGTTTCATGACCATTTTCATGATTATCTGAATTCCACTTTCTTTAAACTCTATCTACAGAATCAGGAAATGAACAGTTTGTGCCTAGGTAGCTCTCCATCTTAGGACAGAAGAAAAATTACTTTCCAGAAAGTCAGCTATAGCTGCATTCTGATGTCAAATTTTACTATTATAATTTTGAATGAACCAATTTTCTCCTTTGTTTTCTTTCTTTTGTTAATACAGCGTAGTTACATGAAGAATAATTTCTTTTTGGTTGAATCAGTTGCTATCTCACTAAAGTATATACTGTATGTCACAATATATTCTGTATACCTTAGTTCTTTTCAAAACTTTAATTCCATAAATCATTTTCTATTTCCCTAATTTTTTCAAATACATTAGTTTTATAGCTATTTAACTAAAATGTTTTATTTTTATTCTTTTCTGGTGCTTTTTTTTTTTGAGTCATAGTCTCACTCTGTCACTCAGGCTGAAGTGCAGTGGCATGCTCACAGCCACTGCAGCCATGACTTGCTGGGCTCAGGCGATCCTTTCATCTCAGCCTTCCAAGTAGCGGAACCACATCTGGCTAATTTTTTATTTATTGTAGAGATGAGGTCTTGCCAAGTTGCCCAGGCTGGTTTTGAACCCCTGGGCTCAGGCAATCCTCTCACTTAGGCCTCCCAAAGTGCTGGGATTGCAGGCATGAGCCACCACACCTGGTGTGTTCTGGTGCTCTTTTTAATGACCAGCAAGGATTAATTGGAGTTGGAGAATCTTCAATAGCTTCCTTGAGAATTAGATAATTTTGTGAATTTCCATTTTAATGCACACATTCTCTATATCACTGAAGTGTTCCAAAGGTAAGGATAAAATTGGTATCATTTCAGGATCCCCATGCTTGGTATATAGGCATTAAATATTTACTAATTAAATGAATAAACAGAAGAAAGAAAAGAAAGAAGGGAGGAAAGAGGGAAGAAAGCAAATAGATTTTTGCCCCATTTAAAGTTAACAGAGAATTAAAAAACATGAGTGGTATCTGATTATTTTGTGGCTACTGGATTTTATAAACTTAATTTTTATTGTTTACTCATTTTCACTTCCTCATCGGCTTTTGGTCAGTTTTACAGATAATCAAGGGGACATATGCACAGATTTTGGCACTGATGGAACACTGGCTTTACTGTGTCTTCACTACAGACTAATTATTGTAAGTAAATTGAGGGGCCATATCAAACCATTTCTGTTCACTTTATAAATTTAAAAACAATCTAGGTCTGAAAAGTTCAAAACAAAAAACAAACAAAAAAACCCCTGCAGCAATCTTTCTTTTAAATAAAATAATTCCATTGTTTGGAATATCATAGGATATGTAACTATTCTCAGTCACACATAATTTATCATATGAAAATCATTAAGTGTATATGTTGTATGCAGATAAACAGCCATACTGCAAAGAGGACAATCATTTATTTATACATTTGTGAACGTGGCAGATGAGCACAATTCAATATTATAATATTTCTTAAATCAGAAGCACTTGTTGACACACGACATAGCTATGAAGTTTTGGTAAGCACAAAAGTAAAAGAACATGGTTTCTCTCTCTGAAATAAAACCTCACTAGTGCTAGAAGCAAATGCCACGTGAATGGGAGAGATGTAACGGAAGAAGCAAAATCATAATATTTAATAAAAGATGTTGGTGCCTAAACCTTGGTTCCATTTCTCTAGAGACTGTTTTTCTTGGGAATAAGTAAGATAATAAAGAAAAGAGGTTGGTAAAATGTTTATGCCTTTTCCTAAGTCCAAAAAAATTATGTATCATATGGGATAGTAATTAGAAACTAGAACAAAACCACACCTGCATTTGGTCCCCCAAGACCCAGAGAGGCTACAGCATTGATTAAAAATATCTGGATATCTTGACTGATACCAAGATCCCAGTTGTGCCTTGTAAAAACATTGTCATACATATGAATAGGTGGACTTAAGATTTCTTTGGTTCAGACATAGCAAGGTGATGTCCATCTGGGGATTTTTATTTCAGTTCATATTCTAGACACATCCCAAAAGGAGATGATTGACTCAGTGTGCCTATAAAGAGAACCCCAAGTAGACTTCACCAGAGTAATTTTCATCTGTAGGCTTCTGAAACGACCATGTTAGTATCATTTCCCTACAGAAAGCCCAGTCAAAGGTTGCAGAAGTTGTTTGTGTTTCACCCTCTCTAAATGACTTGCAAATTTATTCAAACACAATGTGAGGAGATGCTTTATTTGTTAAAATAACTGTCTGCAGTGTCCTGCACTAAAGGGTGAGGTACATCAAGCAGAAACATGGACAGAAATACATTGGTTTCGAAACCCATAAATCCTTATTTGAATCTGCCAACCTGAAAGCCACATAAAGCCCGGATAAACTATTTTTCCTAAATGCTACATCTGATTAAGTCATACCATTAAATGACAGCTGAACTTTAACATTAATATGATATTATTTAAATAACCACATGATTTTTTTTACACTAAAAATGATGAATGATTTCTGGACAGCTCAATTGACATAAAGCAGGAGGACCCTTCAATGAGATTTGACAAAATGGAGACATATGTAGAATATTTGTTACAGCTCACATCGCAGGAGCCCTCCCTGGGAAGCAATAGAGGTTTTCCCCACTCTTTTCTTTCTTTTTTATTGTCTATAGGCACTGAAGCATTCCTTTCAATTGCCAGTTCCCTTCTCTGTGAATTTTGAGTTTTTCTTAAGTCATTTACATATTATATTTAATCAGAGAATTTGGTGGTTTATGGTTCTGAGTTGGGACTGTGTGTTCAGGAATAAAGGGTCATGCAGTGTTATGTCAGCGTTGGCTGGAAGTGTCCCAGGAACTTTAGGCTCGTTACTGATCTGGCTAATGGAAAAATCGCATTGGCCTTGAAGACTAAACAACGATACATTTGATTGGTTCTTATGTAATAAATCTCTAACACAGCAAACACACTTTCAGCAAATTATCATATATGGATACATGATCAGAGAAGACTTTAATTTTTAAATGCTTGTCTCTATAGTATCAACTATAAAGAAGATTTTCTTCTTTAAAATTCTAATGAAGTTATTCCAGAGGCCGTTCCCAAAATTCCTTGTTCACTTTTCTTCCCACAGTTCCATATTGACAGTCAGGCTAGATTATATTCTTATTTGGTAGATTCTGAATGGAAAATCATTCTGTGCTGAATATACTTATAAGAAGACTACCTACTCTCATTCATTGATTTTTGTCATATTCTTCAGCATATTTTCCATCAAAGTTTCATTGCACATATAAAACATAAACATGTTTGCTAGCACATATGACTTCAGATTATTCAGATAATCTTTATATTTTATAAATCATTTCTAAGTGTATACATAAAATGGAAATGTTTCCCCAAACAGCAACCCTTAAAGAAATGACAGCAAAGCAATAGAGAGCAACACTAATACCAAGTGTGCTCCTGCTAATGGCAGCCTTATATTCCTTCTATAAGAATAAGGCTATCAAAATAGAAAATAAAATCAGTCTGCTCCTGCCATGGGGACTTCCTCAGGCTATGAAAAAAATACTTCATGTTTAACCCTAATTTTTTCCATAGCTTGAGGTAATCCCCCTAGCTCAAGCCTTCCCTCCAATCTGTGTTACTATGTGTCCCTGGCCAAATAAGAGTTAATACCAGTGCTCTGCTATTTCAGAAGGTTCTTGACATTAAGACCATTTACTAAGAACTGAAGCTCAAACGCCTGTAAAATGCCCCATTGCAATTTTACAAAAACCCAGTTTTTTAAAAAAGAGAGAGAAAGAGGAAGGTATGTCCCTACCTTGCTCTTACCTTCGCAACATCCCCGTCAGAATCCTGGAGCTTTTCCCCAAGTTAGCATCTGTTTCCCGAAGCTACAAGGAGAACAGCAGTGTTAAAACACAACAAAATTTAATGCGATTAGATTATTTCTAAAGTGCATGGCAAGCAACTATCTATTTCATGAAAGAAAATCCAAACAATAAAAATGCTTAGATGCACAAAATAAATACATTTCTGACATCTATAGACAAACTCCAAAAATTCTTAGATTCAGAAAATGATATGTGAAAGGTAATCCCAGGAGCTTTAATCTGGATACCTGAACTAAATAAAAAATCAATTGTTGGTCAGAAGCAGTGGCTCATACCCGTAACTCCAGCACTTTAGGAGGCTGAGGTGGGAGGATTGTTTGAGCCCAGGAGTTTCAGACCAGCCTAGGCAACATAGTAAGACCTCATCTCTCCAAAAATGAAAAAATTAGCTGTGTGTGGTGGCGCACGTCTGTAGTCCCAGCTACTTAGGAGGGTGAGGCAGGAGGACTGCTTGAGCCCAAGAGGTCAAGGCATGAGTCGTGATTATGCCACTTCATTCCAGTCTAGGCAAATGTGAGGTCATGACTCAAAAAAAAAGCAAATGCCTTATGGGCTGACAAAGTTTAAAATATATTTGGTAATTTATCTCCAATTTATAAATGCACAAAGTTCTAAAAACATAAACAAAAATGAAATGAATTGAGGAAGGATGAGACATCAATATTTTTGCAGCTTTCACTCTGAAAGATTGATACATACCAAAATCTCCCTCAATGACCTTCTCAGCTATAGAGCTGAATAAAATATCCATCTGGAACATTCCAGAATGGGGATACAGAGTCAGCCTTTCTCTCTCTCTCTTTTTTTTTAAAATTTATTTATTATAGAGATGAAGTCTTGCCAAGTTTTCCAGGTGGGTCTTGAACCCACGGGCTCAGGCAATCCACTCATCTCGGCCTCCCAAAGCGCTGGAATGACAGGCTGAGCCACCGAGCCCGGCAGCCCTTTTCTCTATTTCACTCTTTCTTATCCACAGACTTTACACCCCTCTTTCACCTGAGTCATTTTTATGTATACTTACCGATCTACGTAATTGTTATTGCTTATGTATGTCCCAATGATCTTTATTTTATGTCTCCAATGACTGAAAATGTGAAAAACTGTATCACTTGTACTTACTCTTTCACGTGCTCGCTGTATCTTTTCTCTGTCATGACTAAGGTTTTCCAACATTTCCTGACCAATTTGTTCTATGGAAAAGAAAATGTGAGTAAGGAAAGAAGACTTGGAGTGCATGTGAGAATAACTTTCAGAGTACCAAAATGACATGAAATTTTAAAGTAGTATACATTATACATCAGATATGTGTTTCAATTCATATATTTGACAAATATAATCAGTAGTTGACAAATTTACCTGCCTAAATCTTAGCTATGATTAGAAATTTGACCTATAGAACCAATATGACAATAATGACTTAGAAGTGATGTCTTGCCCAGGCCCCTCCAGCAAAATATCAGCAAAGAAGGAGATCCTGGATCCACTGGTCTATTATTGGGTTGAAGTATAAGTTCATAGCATTTTTCGCTTGCCCATGGAATACAAATGTCACATGAGGGCTGACCGGTCACAGTACATCATGTTTGCCAGTTCTTGGGTTGATTAACATGGATCATTGGGAATTAAAGTTTAAACAATCTTCATCAAAAGCTGGATGGTCTTCCTAAATGTGGAGAATCACTCAGGTCAAAGTGGTCCTCTTTGAAACAAAAAAATCTATTTTTTTGCTGTGCTTTACCCAATGGCATTCTCCCCTTACACGGCACAAACGTCTCAAGCCACCTCTGCTGCCTTTACTCCTCTGTTAAACTCAAACTGATGAATACGTTGGAAGTGTTAATTTTTTTCCACTTAATATTCCACCTTTTTTAAGAACACATATTGTACAAACTTTCCTCAAATATGCAAAATGTAAGACCTATTCACAAACACAACACTGTCACTCCAAATGACAAATTATAAACAAATCCTGAACACTGCAGTGCTGCCATGCCAAAACCAAATGCCAGGAATTTATGCATCAAACTAATATTTCATCATCATGGAATTTAACCTTTGGCTTTTTACAGGTTACAAGTTACATTAATGATCCTGCTCTACCTTTGCCATTTCATTATGACACCGTTTTTGCATATGTAAGTAAGTCTTCATTTATAACAATTTTGATATTATTATTTGAGTGGGGGTCTCACACTGTTGCCAGGCTGGAATGCAGTGGCATGGCCATGGCTCACCGAAGCCTCAAACTCCTGGGCTCAAGTGATCCTCCTGCCTCAGTCTCCCATGTAGCTGGGACTACAGGCTTGTGCCACTAAACCCAGTTAACTTTTTGGTTTTTTGTAGAGATGGGGGTCTCACTATGTTTCCTAGGCTGGTCTCGAGCTTCTGGGCTCAAGGAATCCTCCTGCCTCACCCTCCTAAATTGTGCCCAGCCAACAATTTTGATTTTAACATATTCATCCTGCAGAAGTAATCCTCCTATTCTCACCTACTGTATCTTATTGGTAGTGGAACTATCTTGAAGCTTCTGCTGTCTTATAGGCAAGGGCTTGTTTAATGTGTTATCAGCTGCTGTGGATACTTGAGTTGAATCAAGGTGAGGTGCACTCCTTAACAAGTAGTTGAGGAAAACTCATGCTAGAGACAGTGCTTTCACTCTGGAACTTTCAAACATTTATACTGGTACAGACAGCTTAGAACATTCATTGAAAAGCTACACTGCTCAATTCAACCCATGCCATGATCATCTTTTTGGTTGGTGCTAAGTATTAATATTCTCTTTTCTGACTGCAGACTCTTTTATAAGACAGTAGGCATGTCCTGATCTCACAAATATCCAGTTGGCTTGAGTGGATTTTTTTCAGACTCATTCTCCACTACCTAAGAGGTACCTTATTTTATATTAGAAGGATGTCAATCTGCCTCTCTTGTAATCTTGGCAACCTGTCTGACTACATCTCTCTTTCTTTTTTCTTTTTGTATTGTCTCTTTACTCATAACTACAGTAACAATCATTTCTGGCTTATCAACTTATGAAAACATATGACAAGCATCTATTATAATAATATCAAATAATTTAAAAAGGCATTAAGAAGTCATGATGGTAGTTATTTGGTTCATGTATGCACATTGTCAAACTATTTAAAAGAAAAGGCTTCATCAGAATCCTAGAGCTTTTCCCCAGGTTAGCATCTGTTTCCTGAAGCTACAAGGAGAATAGCAGTGTTAAAACTGTAGAGCAGTGGTTAGGTCATATTGAAAGTTTTGGCTGTGAACTCACACTGCTTGAGCCAAAATCCCAATGCAGATATTTACTAGTTGTGTGGTCTCGTGTAAGTTAGCTAACTTCATTGTGTCTTAGTTTATTCACAAAATGGGGATAATAATAACAGTACTATATCATGGGGCTGTTGTAAGAGTTCAGTAAGATAATTCAATTAAAACATTTAGCACAGCTGGGCTCGGTGGCTCAGCCTGTAATCCCGCACTTTGGGAGGCTGAAGTGAGTGGATTGCCTGAGCCTGTGGGTTTGAGACCCGCTGGGCAACTTGGCGAGACCTCATCTCTACAATAAATCAAAAAATTAGCCGGGCGTGGTAGTGAGTGCCTGTAGTTCCAGCTACTTGGAAGGCTGAGGTGGAAGGATCGCCAGAGCCTACCAGGTCGAGGCTGCGATGGCCGGGAGCATGCCACTGCACTCCAGTCAGGGCAACAGAGGGAGACTCCAACTCAAAAAAAAGAAAAAAAAATTTAGCACAGTGACTGGCCCATAGCAATAATAATGAGTATTTATTGAATGATGATTAATGAAAAAAATAAATGGACTGTTTTGACTTGGATATGACACTCTCCTATCCTAGTTCTGTCACAACCCACTTGAGCTACAATTTGATTGTCTGTGCTGCCTTTCTCACAAAACTGATGTTACCATCAAATGAGATAACTGAAGTGAAAATGTTGTGGAAGGTAGAGGGTACCTACAAATGTGTCATTGTATAGCACAAAAGATTCAAAGCATTCAACAAATAATCACTGACTGCTCTGGGCCAGGTACAGTTGCTGAGGATTTGACCAGTTAACAAGGTCAAGTGTTTGCACTCATGGAATGTCCATGCTGGTAGTGAAGGTTTAGCAGTTAAAGGCAAATGTCACAGAAGAGCTTGCATTTCAAGGCACACCAGAAAAAGGACTGTATATTCCCTTCACAATAGAAAATCTAACTAATACAAAATAGCTACATATACTATCATAAATGAATTTTTGACACTAAAATTAAAATTCTTTCCCAATATAGTACTTTCTCTCAGTTTTATTTTAACTATTTATTAACTCCATTACAAACTCATCAAAAAGGTAAAATTGATTAAGATATGTAGTTCCCAGTGGATGCATCATAAAAATAGAAGATGATATCAATAATGAAGGAGGAAACAGGTAAAGTTGAACTTTTTCCTTTTTTGCATAACTACAATATTTAATTTTGTCATACTATTATTACTGTTACATTGAATTTCTTTAATCAACAGAATACAGCAATTTATTTTTAACTTAAAACCTCCAGTATCTATGAGCACCATCAATACTGTAATTATTTGAGCAAAGTGCTATTTATATAATATTTTCTCCTATCTGGATTGATGGTATTAAAAACCTCAAATGAATAGAAAATAGGTTATTACTGTTGTGTCTATGACCAGTACAGTATCTCAGTAAGTATTTGTGGAAATGAAGAAATAAAAGAATGAAATAAAGTAAAAAATAAGGTATATAAAATGTCTGTGGACTGTTCTTGCTCTCAAAGTCCACCAAGTGTGGCATGGGAGGGGTCAACATCAGAAAGCAGGTAATAGATCCACAAGTCTATCAGATTCGCCAGGTGAAAAACTCAACTGGGAATGGAACTATAGTCTGCTACCAAAGCAATCAATGAAAGAGAAGTAAAAAGATTAGGTCTTTTCAGGAGTCACAAGCCACTCTCACAATCTTCTTGCCTCCACAGAAATAGCTCAGCATCCCAAGTACTAACCCCATCTGACAAGAGAAAGGATATTTACAAGAGTGCACGCACCCTGGTCTTAATACCCAAATATCATGTATTTGTTAAAAACAAAATTCTTTTTTCACTTCTTACTTGCTACCTTTCATTTTTATATTCTAATTAAAAACAAATTCCAGGCCAAATATATCACAATGCTCACTCTTACAAATAAAAAGAAATGTATACAAAGCAAGTTATGTTTTTGTCTTTGTTTTTTAAATCCTTATGGGTTCCACTCCCCTAGTCAAACCAAACCAAAACAAGACAACAAATTAAAGATTATTTTTGGCAGGGCTCGGTGGCTCAGCCTGTAACCCCAGCACTTTAGGAGGCTGAGGTGAGTGGATTGTCTGAGCCCACGGGTTCAAGACCCTCCCGGGCAATTTGGCAAGACCTCGTCTCTCAAATAAATAAAAAATTAGCCAGGCACGGCAGCACATGCCTGTAGTTCTGGCTATTTGGAAGGCTGAGGCAGAAGGATAGCCAGAACCCAGCAGGTCAAGGCTGCGGTGGATGGGAGCTTGCCACTGCACTCCAGTCTGCGCAACACAGTGAGACTCCAACTCAAAAAAATAAAAAATAAAATAAAATTTAAAAAAGGAGATTATTTTCAACATAGACTATTGTTGGTTAGAATAGTATTAGACATTTAGGGATAGTTCATTAAAAAATTAGTAACATTGTTAGGTTTATTTCTCTTGAATAATTTTACTTAAGATGTAAGCATTCATCAAAAGCACCAACAAGGAAAGAACACAAGATCATAGGCCTAAACCAAAGACAGATATGATATACTAAGTCTAGAACTTTCTGTTCTTTAAGCTTCCATGTGCATTTAGAATGGAAATAGTCATACTGTCTCTACTAAAATAACTTGAGAAAAAAATCATAAATTTATACACACTGTTGTTGACTGTGAGGATCTTTTTGAGATTAAAAAACAAATCAAGAAGCATAAAAGGAAATAAATAGAGGCTAGGCACAATGGCTTATGCCTATAATCCCAGCACTATGGGAGGCTGAGGCAAGTAGGAGTTCAAGATCAGTCTTAGTAACATAGTGAGACCTTGTCTCTAAAAAAATAAAAATTAGCCAGGCATGATGGTATACCTCTGTAGACTCAGCTACTCGGGAGGTTGACCCTGGAGGACTT